TTTTTTATGTTGAAAATTTAAATATTCATATCCAAAAGCCAAAACGATAAGAATCTCCAGAATTATGCACCAGCGTTATTAGTATCCAGATATTGGTACGTTTTACCTTATGAGTGACATATTGGTGAAGCAATTACAATTCCTTTTACACTAAGAAAAATATAGTTGATCTCACTGAGATTGTAATCACTTTCGATCGCAATCATGTTTTTTATTTTTCTAACGAGAAGATGGTAATAGCAATGTGCATACAAGATCATTATCACTAACATACTATTGCTACACTATACTAGTGCTATACGGAGAGAATACATACAATGTATATTATAATTGTTTTTTATATAAGTTCTTTTCAATTTTATACTGCATCTCTACACACAGAAAAATATCATTCTACTGTTAAGAAAAACGATTACTTTCAGAACAGTTTACTTTCGCTCTTTTAAGTAACAGTTAGTTTTAATAAAGAATATTTTCTTGATGACTTTGAGTGTTCAGATATATTTTATATAAATATATTCAAAGAAAAAGTTGACTCGACTTTATATGCAGTAGGCAGATCGAGAATTTTTGTTTTAATTTAATATCTTTAAAAATTTTTGTCTGAAATGCTAAACTTACTAGGATTCAGAATGCATTTTGAAGCTTATGATAATCTTATGATAGACTTGTAGATTTATGAAATAATTGAAACAAGTGGTATTTATTTAAATACAGTATGTATTATTCTTTATGCATTAGTGTAGGAATAGATTATTAGTAAGGTCTGTTTCCTGATTGTTATTATTTCACTGTGCAATAATCACGAATATTAAACATCTCAATGTAGAATATGGAGAAAGTTCCTTCTGTCTGTTGAACATAGCGCAAAAGCATCAATGTTATAAGCAGAATATTTCGTGATTCCTTCTCCACTGTGTCTCTCACAGTAAATGCACAAATGAAACGCGTGGCCAACGTGAACCTTGAGCCAACTTGACCCGGTCTCTCTTGCTTGAACCCCAGCACTTCTTCGTACTCTTCTCTCCGCATCAGTTCGAGGCGTAAAAAGACGACTCCTCTGTAATGAAAAGCTTAAGAAAATACTTAGACTCGGGGTGCTGGTATCTCAATTCTGTATCTTGATTATCATTCACGATTATCGCGCGCTCCGCTGAAATCGTCTTCATTAATCGTGCGATAGAACAGCCGGACGTTCTCGAGCGCGAGAATTGCGTAACGCGCATTTTTATTCCGTCGTTTCGCACCGTTGCGCTCTCCGCGAGGCTGAGCCTCTGCTCGCACGTGTACCTCGGCGACGTTTTGTCAGCAGAGCTTTGAATCACTTAACGCCTCTAGAATCTGACATAAGGGAACGAAGGCTTACCCGCAGGGGTCAATGTACCTAAAAGCAACGCCGACCACGAGTTAAGGACCTTCGGAGCGCGCGCGCACGCGTTTCTTCTGCGCGGACAATTCTGTCGTTCCATATGCCTAATGGCTCGCTTAGATTTCTTGCGCGCGAGCCGCTTATCATTTTAACATCTACCTATCGGGAAACGATCGTAAGTGATTGTCCGCAGGTGCCGCATCGATAAGCCCGCATTTGATTCAACGTGAGCGCGCTCAGTCATGCTTGAAGAGACGTCGACCAGCACTCGTCGCGAGTGCGTGTACCGCTAGACGAAATGTTATGAATTTTCCACGCGAGATCCCGAGCTGCGAGCCAGGCCGAGCCGACACGCGGAGCCGAGCGTTATCCGCGAGTCTCGACACTTTGGGAATTTTTTTCTCATTCGCGCATTCCGTGCCGGCGATGGTACCGTTAACGGCCGATTACCGTACTGCACTGTGCTCGCTTGTATTTATTGGCCGCTCATATTATTCAACGATGAATCGCGCTCGTCCAATTCGCCTCGCCAGAATAGCGAGTATATGTGCCAGACGGAAATGAAGTATCGCGTCGTGTCGCGTGCGCGTGAAAGGAACTAGGATGCGCGTACAGAGAACGAATTCGTCGTAGACGGATGTATGTATCCTATGCACGTTACGAATACCGGTCCGAGGCAGCGGCACTGTCACGATGAATTCGTGGTTGCGTTCCGCGGTGAAGAGAACCGTAGATGGTGATTGAGAATGATTCAGTAGATATATACTTTTTGCTTACAGAACGACTATTACCTCCCACCGAGATCAACTTGGTCCAGGGTGTCGACAGCACGGATGAACAGCAACTCAACATGGAGGTTTGGCAGTGCCATGTTAATTATATACGCGATGTTAGTGCTGGTTGCGGTGCTGGCAATAGCTGGATTAGCTCTGTGGATGGGCGGTACGTTCAGCATTAACTTTATCCTTTATCCTCCTGAAATGACGAACATAACTCTGCGAGGGCGTTAATGTCCCTGAAATCATTACTTTATTCCATTTTCTCTTTTTATTTTTTTTAACTTAACTCGTCGTTGGAAAGACGAGGTCTGAGAGGCTCCACGCATTTCCATTTCGTTTTCTTTAAATCTTTATAATATCTTAAACATTTTTTTTTCTGTTAGCTGTTAGTTGTTATATCTCCATATTCTACAGAATCATACAAAATTATAAGGTTTGAGAAATTATAAAACTACAACCACATACACACAAACAAGAACAAAATCCATCATATTCCATTTTTCTAATGACGAGTTAATCTTATAATGAATGCTATACACACAATGCTATACACACACACACACACACACACACACACAAATGACTAATGATTATGATCAATAATGTTTCAGCCCTTCGAACAGATTCTAAGAATGGTGAGTTTTCCACATTCGTATGATAGTAACAAGTCATGCAATATCTTTGCGAAATCGCATATCTCACGTGTCTCTCGATCGTTGCAGTTATCGTCGGATTTTCGTGCAGCTTCAGGATAGCTAGGGGCGAAAGGTACAATCCTATGTTAAAACTGAACACGAGCATGATCTTCCGTGAAAAGGAGCGTAAATTCAAAAATATCGTAAGTGAAAAATACTTTAAGATCGTTTCTCCGTGAGAGAAAAAGTCTTTCGTGCCTCTCGATTAAATCCTGTTCTATTCCTCTCAGTTCGAGCTTCTATTTAGGAGAAGCGTACTCGGTGCGTCTTACAAGCGAACAACAATAGACAAGTTCGAAAACGGGACTTTGAAAGTTTTCTTCAGACTGTATCTCGACCGAAGGAAGATACCGCGCTCGATCACGAATGTCGAGGACACCATACAGGACATCATCATCAAAGAAACGTACTCAATATCATCTCTGTTTAAGGACATGGAACTGGATCTCACAAGCGTGTCGGTGAAGAGTAAGTAGGGACTTCACATCTCGAGTGTTGAATTTTTTCCGAGAAACTATGTCGAGTTCCATGCTCGTCACAGCCACTACTTCGCTTGACGCATTACTTTTTAATGTAGGAATAAGCCAGGAAGGTGCCGCGAGTCCGAAACAAGGACAGCAGAAACACACGATGATTACTAAGAACGGCCTGTTACGACCGAACAGAAACAGCAGTTTGATCACGAGCTCGAAGCCGAAAGTAAAACCCATCAGGCTCGACTCTGGCGAGCCTGACATTGATTTCAACAATATCCCGACTATTCAAGGCACCTACCGAGCAACGAAGGTTAACATCACCGCGGAGAATTCGACTAAAGGAACGGCTGAGTCGATAACAGATGCTAAAGATACCACTAAACGAGCGCCGTCGCGTGAACGAACCACAGACACTCCATCGACATCTCCCACGAGATCCACGAGCGTCACATTCGGCGAGGATAAATCGAACGAGAGACCGGATACGAACGTTACGAAGATGACGACGAGCACTACGACTACACAAAGCGATCTGGACATCTTCAAGGATTTTCGTAATCCTAACTTGGAGACCTCGCCGTGGAAACCGATCGTACCAACATACGTTAACACGGAAATCAAGCTGCTACCCGACAATAACAATCGTACAGAATCGAGCACGCGACGCACCGTTTCCACATCGACCAGTGATCCTGGAGACAACGCGAAGGTATCCGAATCTGGGACCAGCGCGACGTCGGATTTATCACTGGAATCGGTGAACTTCCGTGACGTACCCGGCATGAGTACCTTTGACACGGACGACGCGGATTTCCCGCGCGACAGAATCGTGCCGAGCTCGACGGCATCCAGATTAGACGATGCCGGCAGCTTGGAGATCGAAGTGGCCGGGCAACTGCCTCCGGAAATGTACAGTATCCGATTGAAAGCCTCCTCGAAACACGATGATAGCGATAAGGTGACTCCCAGCTCGGAGATTTCGGCGACTCGGCAAGCGTTCGAGAATACATCAACGAAGGAGAACATCTCACTCAAAGACACGCGGAAAGAATCGAGCGATACTCAAGAGATGGAGGTAAAACTCGATGATTCGACAGCGACCACGACGACACGATTCGACAGTGTGGAATCGCGCCGCGACGAAGAGATCGCGAGTAAGTCACCTGACACGAGCGGCATCGGCGTAGCGGAGCCCGTGCTGGACGCAGAGGTCGAACTGGAGACGAAGAATCGCTACAGCGGTGTCCCGACAAGCAAGGACGAAGAGGAAGACGCGTTGCGTAACAGAAAGGTGGACGTTGACCCGAAGCGACCGGTTTACACGAGTTATAACACTCCCGATCTGAACGGCGGTAATCTGGGATCGAGCTTGATTAGAAATTCGGCGACCATGAAGCCCTTCAGGCATACAATACCTGTCGACAAGATCGCGTCCGTTGTAAATTACAGCAGTGACATTCCTGCTCGCGATCCGGTCTTCACGAACGTTCCTTTCCTTGCTACCGACGCGGGCGAGTCATCTCGAAACAAGACCGCGATGTCGTTAGCGAACTTGGAGAGAATTGTCAAAGTGGAGACTTTCGTCAAGGGACAAGACAACGACGACGCGATGATCAAGCTGCCGAATTACGGGCGAATTACACCGACGGACTCGACCATCGTGCGTTTAACAGACGACGAAGACGACAACCCAGTAAGCAGAAAATCATTGATGGATCGTTGTTGCAACGATATTTAATAACATATAACGTTTTCTAGTATGTAGTTTTTAACACCGTTGCGTGAATAACTTCGGCACTCTCTTCAATATTTCTAAAATATTTTTACAGTATTCTAAGAATCATATTATCTAGTAATATCTTTAAAATATTTATACAATTAAGCGTTCGAGATACAGAGGTGTGAAAATTATTAGAATAATTTTTGTTTCTTTATTAATTTTCTCTAATTATTCTCTTTAATAAATGTCTAGTTTCTTAGGAAATATTACAATTCGTTATCGATATTCCTTATAAGTTTATATGATCACAGATTTATGTTACATATTTTATTAAATATATTTATATATTACATAAATTATATAAATAATGACGGATTATTTGACAGAAATAAACTTTACATTCCAAAAATAAATTTTTAAGTACTTTTTTCAATGTATAAAGTAACCCGCTATTTCCTATATAAAAATTTACTTTTACACACAAAATATATCTTATACGATAGAATCTAATATATATATATATATATATATATATATATATATATGTCGGTTATTGTTTATATAATTTAGTTATATGTAATACAGACTTGTAATCATTTTAAACTTATAAGGAATATTGATAAATTAATTAAATTAAAGAGAATGAATAAAGAAATCAAAACTATTCTAATAATTTTCGCATTTCTGTACACATAAAATCAATATTTACCAAGATGCTAATCAAATATTTTTTGTTTACTGAAAAGTTACCGCATCTGAGCACCACGGAAGTCTATTCGGAACCGAAACTGACTGGCAAGGATTCGGACAATAAGAAAAGCGTGTCGAGGAACTCAACGTTCGTGGAGATTGACACCGTCAAGCACACGCCCAGCGAGTCGGAAGAGAATTGGGAGTCATACGCGGGCGAAGCAGCAGTCGTCAGCAACCACAACGAGCCAAAGAAGATTTACAACGACACCTTGAAGGCCTACGTGGTGGAGAACCTGGTGACGTTGGCACCGGTCAAGAGCAACACGGGGGTTGGTAGACCGGTACGACCGCGGCCGAAGATTGACGCCTCGACCGACGAATCGAGCCTCTTGGAGCAGCTGTTCGGTGTGCGTGATTATATGCGCGAAAGGGACACGGTGAACAACACGTCCGAGTCCTCCACGGTCATTCTTGAGCCGCACGAGGCGACGCAACCTGATCGTACGCAATCCAACGAGGATGAATCTTCGAACGGCAAGAACACCGTGATCGAGCAGATCGTCGAAGTCGTGACTTCCATCAGCACCAAAGTGTCATCCAGCATCAAGGGCGACCCGGTCGTGTTGAAGCTCATCGTCAGTAATTCCACAGCTCTCCCGGTCATTCGTTCGGAGAAGACTTCGACGTCAAACAGAGAAGAAAACAGATCGTTCGGGACAATCGCCGACACAACGGAGAAGGTATCCTCCGCGTGGAGCCAACAACGGCCGCTGTCTTTGCTGTCGGCGAATTTGAGGACGATGCAGACGTCGGACAGAAAGATATCGGCGCTCGAGGAAGAGAATAGGATTCTGCTGGAGAAGCTTAAACAACTCGCTCAGGTCCGGACAAATGGCGATTCCGTGCAAATTGTAAGGAACGGTTCGAGCAATAGCGCGATGTCGCGACCGCTTCATGACTCCAATGCGTCGTCATCGAGCATCGACAAGTTGAAGAAGATCGTGGACGTGACGATTAGCAACGAAACTATGAAGAACGCAAGGCCGGGGTTCACGTTGAGTCGCGACGGCGTGGAAGTACTCACGAAGGTGTTGAACAAAGTGAAGGATCAAGGGAACAAGAATACGTCGCAAACGTTTGTGAAGACCAATGGTAACTCGTCGACTTTAGCTTTAGACTCGAGGTCTCTTCGAGCGAGCGAAATTAAGCATCGGGCTGATTTGTATCGTATTTTCGCAGATCATTGCGTCGGCTTCCTGTGTAGAGACGGAAAGTGCTTGGACTCGAGCGCAATGTGCAACATGCTAGTGGAATGCTCTAATTCGGAGGATGAAGCCAACTGCACGTGCGCCGATTTTCTCAGGGCGCAGCTACTGTATCGCAAGATCTGCGACGGCATCGTTGACTGTTGGGACTATTCGGATGAGAGTGATTGCGGTAATGTGATTTACTATTGACTTAACAATCTATAAGAGCCGATTTTTCACAGAAGTAGTTTAAACTCATATTTAAATTTCTAATTCTCTATTCTGTCCAGCAATGTATTTGAACAATGTTAAACATAAATCTAAGTTAAAATACCATTGTGAAAAATCGATATTAAGAGTTAGATCAAATAGATTCTATTTTAGAAATATTTCTGCTGTTCAACTGGAAATTTTTTTCTTAATGCGGTTCAATATAATATTGCTTTATCAAAGGAAATCACTTTTATTTAATAATAACTACGTGTAATTAAAATAACAATTAATAAATTAACAAAATTAAAATAACAAAAAATAAATAGTTTTAACAGTCCATATTTCGATTGAACTCTAACTCGAATGTTTACTGAAATAACTAGAACTTCTGGGTCTCTCTCACAGCTTCTCATATCGTTTGATTTCATTTTACGACAGATTGGTGTCAAAAGGGCCAATTTGTATGTGGTAACACAAAATCCTGTGTCGATCCAGACAAAGTGTGCGACGGTATCAGCGATTGTGCCGGCGGCGAGGACGAAAAGAAGTGCACCGCTCTGATAGACGACGAGCCGGAAGAAAACATGGACGTTCTTGTCTCGACGAGGAACACCTCGACAGACTACTTTATCGAGTCAGAGCGGACGGCAAAGGAACCTCATTTCGATCAAGAAGCTGTCGAATCGATCATCGTAGACACGACCACGTTGTACGATTTCTCCTACGATTCCCGATCCGAAAAGCCAAAGGACGAAAAGAGCAACTTGTCATCGAAATCGATCGATCAGGAATCAACGCTCAAGAACAGAGATGCCGAGGGAACGCGATACATCGAGGAGAACGGTAAAATCACGGTCGCCGTTTCCAGCAGAGAAATATCTTCGAGTCTCCTACGAAATAGCTTAACTTCTGATAGCGGTTTACGTGCTGAAAGTAATCGTACCTTCTCGATAGCAATAGCTACTGTTCCTCGCGAGGAGATCGACAGTTACAACAACAACGGGTATCTAAACATACGTAAAAATGGGAAATGGGGAAAGCTCTGTTTGAGCGACACGGATAGTGTTCTCCAGGAACGGCAAGCCGCATGGTCTATCGAGGATCTCGCCAAAGCTGCGTGCAAGGCCATCACATATCAGTAAGTAACGTCGTGTTATTCTTATTGAAAAGTAAATTTTTTCCTAGTATTGTCGCCACACGCGAGTCTTTTGCGTTTTGACTCTTTTTTCTCTTTCCTCTCTCGCCTTCAAGTCCTTCTCTCGATCGCAATTTCACATTGAAAATATCTTTTTCATTTTCCTCGGAAAATTTCCTTTCGATTACGAAATGAATGAATTTATTAAACTAAACATACGAAATCTCATTTATACAGAGATTACGAGACGGTGGAGAAAGTATTAGACCAAAATCCGCCGCCAAACCGCTTTTATTACTCTCTGTCGCACAACGAGAAATCGTTGGATAGAACGGCTTTGTCTTTCAAATCGTCCGAGTGCCCGGGTCGTGAGGTGCTTAAAGTAAAATGTAAGAACTTCGAGTGCGGCATAAGGAGTCAAGTGACTTCGACAGCAAGGTACGCCATTGTGTATTTTTCAATTCGGAACTATAATGTTGTACTTTTCTAATATTGATTTTATATTGTTTAAATATTGATTATCAACATTAATGTTTCTAGACCTAAACGTAACAGTACGAATATTTTAAAGTTTTTTTCAATATCGAAATGTAGATACTTGAAACGTTAGAATTATCCTTTAAATGTTATTTGCATTAAAGCAGCTCCTTTCTTTCCCGTCGTCCTAGGATCGTCGGAGGTTCCAGCAGTTCCGCGGGAAGCTGGCCGTGGCAAGTCGCCTTGTACAAGGACGGCAACTATCAGTGCGGCGGTGCTCTTATCAACGATCAATGGATCATCTCAGCCGCGCATTGTTTCTATCAGTAAGACTCTCACCTAGTATGTGATGACCGATGTACCCTTACATGTAATTTTAACGTAAGAATCTAATCGAAGTCACTGTCGCATTGTGCAGCGCGCAGAACGACTATTGGGTGGCAAGGATCGGTGCAACTCGCAGAGAGAGTTTCCGAAGCCCGCACGAGCAACTCTTGCGATTGGATCACATATCATTGCATCCGAACTACATTGATAGCGGTTTCGTGAACGACATAGCTGTGTTGAGACTTGAGAGACCGGTTACATTTAGCGACTACATAAGACCGGTCTGTCTTCCCGCGAATCCGGTGAATACCGGAACCGTTTGCGTTGTAACGGGATGGGGACAATTATTCGAGGCCAACCGGGTGTTTCGTAAGTAGAACAATATAATGTCGTTTTGGCCGACTCTTATCAGATTTTAGAAGGAAAGTGGGCGAAACCGCAGAACGCAGATGTAAGCACGCAAAAAGTAACCAAGTTCATGTGAATCTTTGTACTTAAAACTGCGTTCCAATTGTGATAACGTACGAAAGATGATAATTACCTGAGCATTATGAGTTTTATTAACATAACCATTTGTATTTAACAGCGGACACACTGCAAGAAGTGGAATTACCAGTGATATCTACGGAGGATTGTCGGCGTAAGACTCTGTTCTTGCCATTATACAGGATAACATCTGGTATGTTCTGTGCGGGATTACGTAATGGAGAAAAGGACGCATGCTTAGGAGACAGTGGAGGACCATTGGTGTGCTTATCCCCTGAAAATCGATATATATTGCAAGGTAACATTCAAAGTGAAAAAATAAAATATTTTAATTTGCTAAATAATTATGAATATATAAGTTTTTCATATAAGAATGTGTTTGTATCACATAACTGATATAAATACATAATAATATGAGACAAAATTATATATATACTGGGTGATCAGAAATTCCTGCATTCGGAGTACAGGACATGATACTTTATGCTAAAACAAACAACTTTTTCCTTTAGCACAATTGCATCCGACAAGTAGTTTTTGCAGGAGAGCGTATTAAAGTTAACGAATAAGCGGCCTTGTCTAAGCGGCGCTCAGGGCCGGCGCGAGCGCCTCACTCGCGTGTACCTAGTCCGTGACTAATATTCACAAATAATGTCTTTTAAGACACTCATACGGCTCTGTTTTGATTAGTTTACAACGTCTTAAGATTTAAGACAATCTTAAATAATAAGAATCAACCATGAACAATATCAGAATTTAACCTTCTTCCGTATTGTTCATAGTTGAATCTTATTATTTAAGATTGTCTTAAATACAATCTTAAGATGTTGTAAATTAATCAAAACAGAGCCGTATGAGCGTTTTAAAAGACATTACTTATGAATACTAGTCAGGTACACGCGAGTGAGGCGCGCGTGCCGACCCTGAGCGCTGCTTAGACCGCTTATTCGTTAAATTTAACACGCTCTCCTGCAAAAACTACTTGTCGGACGCAATTTTGCTAAAGGGAAAAGTTGTTTGTTTTAGCATAAAGTATCATATCCTGTACTCCGAATGCGGGAATTTCCGATCACCCAGTATATATATATATATATATATATATATATATATATATATATATATATATATATA